ACGCCCCAGCAGCTTCGTGAATGGTACGCTCAGAGTAGAGGGTCTCTGAGTACCGTTCGCTGCCCGTACGTCATTCGCACTGGTGCTCGAACTGGTCAGGCTTGCGGGACGCTTAGTCACACGCAGTCCCGCTGCTTCGCCCGTCTGAGCGACGCCTGGCGTACCGAGTTTGGCGACGAGGCTGAGCTCCCCGACTAGGTGGAGCTGCTTGGGCAGAGGGTAGATATATTTGCTCTTGACTATGATGCTATTCTCACTGCCATGTATGCATTGCCTACTAGTGCTGACCGTGCCTGTTACCTGTGCGTACCGCCTGACCCAGGTATAGAGCCTGCTGCTCTAGGTGCTGGTGTGGCTGCTGATCTAGGGGCTAGTGTGTCTCGTGCTCTAGGTACGGGTGAGGCTGCTGCTCCAGGTGCTGGTGAGTCTGCTCTCTCTGATACTGCGCCTGCTGAGGCCTTGTACACCTTCACACTTGACTCTGGTGCTTCTCGCTCCTTCTTTCGCGACAGCACCACCCTCACGCCGCTCAGTCGGCCGGTTGCAGTCTCCCTGGCTGACCCCTCTAGGGGTCCAGTCCGTGCGACCTCCTCCACTGTCCTCCCTTGTCCTGCTGTCCCGTCCGGCACACTGTCGGGTCTTTACCTCCCCTCGTTCTCTACGAACTTGGTGGCGGGTTCTGCGCTCCAGGACGCGGGTGTTCACCAGTTCACCCCTGCCTACGAGCGTGTGACACACTGCACGTGTGCTCAGACGGGTCGTCACCTGGCTACCTTCACTCGGCAGCTGGGATCAGGCCTGTACACACTGACCACTGAGTCCCCTCAGGTAGCTGCGTCTGCGTCTGCGTCAGGTCAGCTGTCGGCCCCCTGCTCATGTCGCGCCTTGTCGCACCAGACCCTCCTTTGGCACCACCGCCTTGGTCACCCCTCGGTGCAGCGCCTTCGCAGCATGCACCGCCGTGTCATTGTCTCTGGTCTTCCCAGGGTTCTCCCTCCCCCCCCACCCTCGCCTGCTCCTCCCTGTCTTCCTTGTGTCGAGGGGCGGCAGCGCGCCGCTCCTCACTCCTCCTCGTTCCCTCCCATAGAGGCTCCCCTACAGACTCTCCACCTGGACGTGTGGGGCCCAGCCCGCGTCCGTGGACAGGGCCACGAGCGGTACTTCCTGCTGGTCGTCGACGACTACACGCGCTACACCACGGTCTTCCCCTTGCGCACCAACGGTGAGGTCCCTGATGTTTTGATCCCTTGGATCCGCGCTGCTCGTCTCCAGCTCCGCGAGCGGTTCGCGACGGAGTTTCCCGTCCTGCGTCTGCACTCTAACAGAGGTGGTGAGTTTTCCTCCGACCTCTTGGCAGCCTTCTGTGAGGAGCACGGCATCACCCAGTCGTTCACGCTTCCGGCCTCTCCGCAGCAGAATGGGGTTGCTGAGCGCCGCATTGGCCTAGTCATGGAGGTCGCTCGTACCTCCATGATCCATGCGGCTGCCCCCCATTTTCTGTGGCCGTTTGCAGTCCGGTACGCCGCGCAACAGCTCAACCTCTGGCCCCGTGTCTCCTTGCCGGAGACCTCGCCCACACTGCTGTGGACGGGGAAGGTTGGCGATGCGTCGCGTTTCCAGGTCTGGGGTGCTCGTGCCTTTGTCCGCGATACCACCGCGGACAAGCTCTCTGCCCGCGCTGTTCCCTGTTTCTTCCTTGGCTTTGTCCCTGACGCGCCTGGTTGGCAGTTTTACCACCCCACCTCGCGCCATGTCTTCCCCTCTCAGGACGTCACGTTCGACGAGTCGGTTCCCTTTTACCGTCTCTTCCCCTACCGCACTGCCCCTCTCCCCCCCCCGCCGCTCTTCCTCGCTCCAAGTGCTCCCAAGGTAGACCCCCTCCCCACTCCCGGTCCTGCTCGTTCAGGTGTGTCTCAGGTAGACCCTCCTCCCTTGACTGCGCCGGTTGAGGTCACTGGTGACTCAGGTCCTACTGAGGGTGGTCCTGCTCGGGGTGCTGCTTCTGGAGGGTGCGGAGCTTGGGGGTGCGAAGCCTGGGGGTGCTGAGCCTGGGGGTGCGGAGCCTGGGGGTGCTGAGCCTGGGGGTGCGGAGCCTGGAGGTGCGGAGCCTGGGGGTGCGGAGACTGGAGGTGCTGAGCCTGGGCGTGAGGAGTCTGGGGGTGCTGAGCCTGGGGGTACTGAGTCTGGGGGTGCTGCACATGGGGGCGCTGAGGCGTCTGGTGAGCAGTCTCCCTGGGGCGGCCGTCTTCGTAGTTGCTCCGCTGGTACCTCTCCACTGCACTCTCGTCGTCGACTCCCTCTCACCCCACACCAGCTGCGTGAGTGGTATGTTAGCCGTCAGGGTCGCGCTGCTGGAGCTAGGGGCCCTGCTGCGGGAGGCGCTGGAGCTGGTGACTCTGCTACTGGAGTTGTTTCTACTGGAGGTTCTGGAGCTGCTGAGGGTGCTGGAACTGGAGGTTCTGGAGCTGCTGCGGGTGCTGGCGCTAGCGGTTCTGGAGCTGCTGCGGGTACTGGCGCTGAGGGTTCTGAGTCTGCTGTTGCGCGGTCTCCTTGGAGTAGTTGCCTTCGTCCGCGTGTGCCTCTCACCTCACAGCAGCTGCACGACTGGTACGGTCGCCGTCAGGGTCGCGCTTCTGGAGCTCGGGGCTCTGCCGCTGGAGGTACTTCTGCTGACGTCACTCGAGCTGGGAGTGGTGCTGGTCCCGGAGGTGCTCGTACTGGAGGTACTGGATCTGCTGGGGCTGGAGGTGCTGCTGAGCCTGAGGGTGCTACTGCTGGAGACCCTGGGACTGGAGGTGCCGGTTCTGGGGGTGTTGCTGCTGGTGGAGATGTTCCTGTAGGAGTTGGCGCTGAGGGTTCTGGAGTTGCTGGCGGTGCTGGAGCTGCTGGGGGTGCTGGAGCAGCGGGTATTGTTGGCCCTGCACAGCCGCGCCTGTTCTTTGCTCCACCATCTCCGTCGTCTCAGCCAACGTCTGACTCTGTGCTTCGCCAGGTTCTTAGTCTCCCTTCGTCTACTGGTCTTCCGTTACAGCCTGGCTCACCGCTGCCTGCTCCTTCTCCTTACACTGAGCAGACAGGGGGTCTTACTGAGCGTCGTGAGCCTGCGTCGCGTCCTGTCTCGCCTGTCCGTTCTTGTCGTCCTGTTCGTAGTGTTCCTCGTTCGCGTCAGCCGGCTGTCACCGGCACCCACCTCGTAGTCCGTCGTCCTTCCTCTCCTCCGCAGAGTGTTCTCCTACCGTCCCCTCCTGCGTCTTCTCTGCCTACCGTTCCTGAGCCTGAGTCTGACCGCACCCGTGCTGCTCGCCCTACTGTCACGTGTCTGCTAGCCACAGTTGTCACTGACCCGTCGTTTGAGTCTACTGCTGCGTCTGCCTTAGTCGCTGAGCGTGTTGACTTTGCTGCTGCTTGTCGTCTAGACTACGCCGCTAGTCTTGTTGCTGAGTCTGAGTCTGTCTGTCCTCCGTCCGTCGGGGGTGAGTGTGCTCTTAGCACGGTCGTCCTTGAGGACAGGCACGAGGACCTTGAGTGTCTTGTAGCCGCTGCGCCTCATCTCGTGTCCATGCTGCTTGCCCCTGAGGGAGACCCGGATGCTCCAGACATCCCGACCCCGCGCTCTTACGCTGAGGCGATCGCGGGTGAGTACTCCTCTCAGTGGCAGACAGCCATGGATGCAGAGATGGCATCCTGGAAGTCCACAGGCACCTACGTCGACGAGGTTCCCCCTCCTGGGTCAACTGCGCAGCTATCTTGGCTTGCAAATCACCTGGGACACAGCAGCGCCCACCATCACTTTGACTCAGTCACACATGGTGCAGTTATAGATATATATGAAAAAAAAATATCACGACACACCCCCTAACTGCCTGCAGCACAAAGCTAGAGCAAGTCACACCCCTTGAAGGGCTACAGCAGGCAACAGAAGGAGCAGCATCAGGCAAGAGGAGTGGCAGATTTAGCCGCAGCAAATTTCCGCCACGGCAGGTGCAACAGCAGCGGGTGCAGGGGCAGCAGGGCGTCTGGAGAGGGGTTGCGTGCGGCGGCAATAGGCGGCGGCACAGCAGGGCTCAACGGTAGCAACCGCGCTCACCAGTAGCAGGCAGCAGCAGTAGGTGCAGGTGGCAGCAGGGGTGGCAGCAGGAGGTGCCACGGTTGCAGCGGGCGGCAGCTGCAGATGCCCGGCTGACTCCCGCCACCCCCTCATGCGCGGCAGTGAGAGAGAGAGATAGGAGGGGCAGCTGCTTGTGCGGCACAATCTCTCCCACCACCTCCTCACCCTCCCCCCTTCCACAACAGCGGCGGGCGCTGCGGGGAGAGAGAGGAGAGAGGAGGGCGGCGGCTGGTTCCTGCTGGTACACTCCCGCCACCTCCTCACCACAGCAACCGCGGATGCCTCTGGCGTTGGGCTCCACGAAACGGGGCGGGTAGCGTGCTGACAAGGAGCGCGCGCGGCGAGCTGCACAATAGGTCATTGTTATCTATTTCGTGATGAAAAATACACTACTTGTTTTTCAAATAAATCAATATTTTTAACTGGCGGAACTGCAATAAATCCACTTTCTTGTGTAGATGGTTTTGTTTTTGCTGGGTTCTTTCTTCTATTGCCGATTTGTTAACAGTGATTTCCTTGTATTGTCATTTTCCGGAAATCAGTCTTTAAGGCGGATCTTTCCCTTCCTCACTGCCTCACTTCCCTCACTCCCACCTCTCCGTACGAGGTGCCGCGCGTTCAGTTCGTGACCAACAACTGACTCAAGCGCTGTTGCAATAGCCGTGACGAGCCACTTACCTCGGCAGCAGCAACCGCCGTCACCTCAGCAATATATTAGTACTGTACCTGATAACGGAGTAACTTTCAGCATAAGTAGCCCGACAGCAGCCGCAGCGGCTGCAGCAAGTGCAGGCCCATCTCACCAGCAGCAGCAGCAGCAGCAGCAGCAGCAGCAGCAGCAGCAGCAGCATTTCATTTTCTCGTACCTACCTGGTAGTAACGGCAAGGCACGATGTGGTACTTGGCGTATTTCATGCATCGCCACCTCGACTTCCGCCTCGACGAGCTGCAGTCGCTCGCCGTCCTCGCTGGCGTGCAGCCGCCAGCTCAGCCCGCCGCGCCACGTCACGATGACGTGGAATTGCAGCCGCCTGCCGGCTCGGCTTTATCTGAGGGAGAGCGGGGCGGAGAGAAGCGGAACGAAGGGGATCGGGTGGTCGAGGGAGTGAGGGGAGACGAAGGCAGCGAGGAGACGAGGCGGGGAGAAGGGGGCAGTGAGATGGAAGGAGGAGAGGAGTATGAGATATCAGGGGGAGGCGGGAGTGAATGGGAGCCAGTAAGATGGAGGAAGCCACGTGGCGATCACATGGACTCGCCGTTCTTCTACGTGGATCTGCCGTCTGATGACGTGGCGAGGCAAATGGCCGCTAGAAGTGAGTCGGCGAAGAGATCAACACAATCGCTAGGCGTCGAATAGATATCCGCATCTCAGCCGCATAATAAATTGGCCATTTCAGCAGCCATTGCTTCTCGAAGGCAGGGCCTTCTAGTCCTGAAATCATGGCGTTGTATGCGGCGTCACTCCGAAGCTTCGAGATTCAAATGTTTGCGGTCCGAATTGCGAGCCAGTTTGAGAGTTGACTTTCTAAACTCTGCAGTCGCGGGGAGGGTTTTCCGCATCTGGGGTTTAACGATTGGCTTGTCAAGGTTCAGGGTTTAGGTGAAGAGAATGCGCGCCTCTTGTGGCGCGAAGGAGGGTTTCCCAGGTTGCAGGGTTTTGAAGTTTCTCTTTTCGTCATTCCCATCACTCCCATATATCCATCACTACCACAAATTGCACGGAGGAGGGATTAGGATGCGGGTCGTACAATCTACTAGCTTGCAGGGTTCAGGGTTTCTTTGTTTGCCTGCTGCAGGGGGTTTAGGAGGTCGGGTGAATATGTTTGATTGGCTGACGCTGGAAAAACCCTTCATAAGCCCTCCCACGTGCCATTCCTCCTCATCATCCCATGCAACTTCATCAATTTTCCTTGCCTCCTAAACAAACACTCAGAGACACCCTTTGCCGTTACCTGCTTTGAGACGCGTCCAAACGTCGTTACCTGCTACGCTTGTTCTCCACACGCTCCCCAGTCCTTCCATCCTATCTCCATACCCACCGTATTCTTAGAGACGCAGCCCATGACACTTTCGTCTCCCACCCTCTCTCCTACCCCATCACTAATATCTCAACTCCCACGTCATCATCCGTATCCCCTCACTCTCCACCCCCCCAGGCCTGCTCATTAAGGGGATATTCGACATATGGGCGGAGGCACCAACGTTCGAGGCACTAAAGTCGCAGGTCACCACAAAAATCGTGCCCTTCACATCACAGCCCCTGGCTCCACCCACCCTCCTGTTCCTCCTTTTTCCCTTCTCTCTCCACCCCTCCCCACCCGCCCAGGCTTGCTTATAAAGGGGATATTCGACATATGGGCAGAGGCCCCGACCTACGAGGCACTAAAGCCGCAGGTTGAGGCGAACATCACCACCAAGATCGCGCCATTCACAGCCCCCGGGTCCACGTTCAAGATCGTGGTGGACGGCTTTGGGAAGATTTTCTCCATGGACGAGCAGCGGGAGCGCATGGAGCGATTCACATACATCCCCTTCCAGGTGGGTGGGGGGTGCGTGCGTGTGGTGGTCGGTGTAGGCTGATACTCTCCTCCCCCCCTCCCCTCTCTCTCATGGTAGTGGTCGGCTTCGGCAAGATCTTTTCCATGGACGAGCAGAGGGAGAGGATGAAGCGATTTGCTTATATCCCCTTCGAGGTGGGTGGGTTGGGTAGATGCGCAGCGCATTGGCCAAGAGGTACATGCTCATTGGCCAAGAGGTACATGCGCATTGGCCAAGAGGTACATGCTCATTGGCCAAGAGGTACATGCTCATTGGCCAAGAGGTACATGCTCATTGGCCAAGAGGTACATGCGCATTGGCCAAGAGGTACATGCTCATTGGCCAAGAGGTACATGCGCATTGGCCAAGAGGTACATGCTCATTGGCCAAGAGGTACATTCCCATTGGCCAAGAGGTACATTCCCATTGGCCAAGAGGTACATTCCCATTGGCCAAGAGGTACATGCTCATTGGCCAAGAGGTACATGCTCATTGGCCAAGAGGTACATGCGCATTGGCCAAGAGGTACATGCTCATTGGCCAAGAGGTACATGCGCATTGGCCAAGAGGTACATGCTCATTGGCCAAGAGGTACATTCCCATTGGCCAAGAGGTACATTCCCATTGGCCAAGAGGTACATTCCCATTGGCCAAGAGGTACATTCCCATTGGCCAAGAGGTACATTCCCATTGGCCAAGAGGTACATTCCCATTGGCCAAGAGGTACATTCCCATTGGCCAAGAGGTACATTCCCATTGGCCAAGAGGTACATTCCCATTGGCCAAGAGGTACATTCCCATCCTCGTTGAGCCAACAGCAGCACAAAGAAAGGCAGCCTTTTCTGTTCTTGCTGTGATATGCCCCCTCCCTCTTCCTTGCCATGGCAGGGCCGACTCCCGAGTGAAGCTGAGCTCGCCTGACTTTAAGTTCTGAGTGATAGAGCAGGCGGCCGACGGCACCAACAACCCACTCCCCTGCCTCCCCTCCCCGTTCCCCCGGCCTGCCCTCGTTACCCTCTATTTCCCCTGCAATCCCCGCCCTTCCCCTTGCCATGGCAGGGCCGAGTGAAGCTGAGCTCGCATGATTTTAGTTCTAGGTGATAGAGCAGGCGGCAGACGGCACCAACAACACCCCCTCCACCCCACCCCCTCCTTCCGTCCCCCTGGCGGCTCTCGTTACCCTCACTTTAACCTACCTGCCCCAATCATACGTACGCTTGGCAGGGCCGAGTGAAGCTCAGCTCTCCCGACTACAAGTCATAGATGATAGAGTAGGCAGCAGACTGCACCAACAACACTCCCCTCCCCCCATCGACGTACCTCCGTCGCGCAACCTTCCTCCCCTCTCACCCTGCCCTCATTAGCCTCTGTTTCCCCCTTGCTCTTGGCATGGCAAGGATGGGTGAAGCTGAGTTAGCCAATCTACAAGGTCTGGGCAATAGAGCAGGCAGAAGACACCACCAACAGCCTCCACCCTCCCTTCTGCCTGTCCTCCTTACCCTTGATTTTTCCTGTGCCGTCCCCCCTTTAACGTGGCAGGGCAAGGTGAAGCTGGGCTCGCCCGACTACAAGTTCTGGGTGATAGAGCAGGCAGCAGAATGCACCAACAACGGCCTCCCACCCAACATGCCCTTGCGCGTGTTCATTGGCCGAGAGGTGCGTGTTCATTGGCCGAGAGGTGCGTGCTCATTGGCCGAGAGGTGCGTGTTCATTGGCCGAGAGGTGCGAGCGGGGGAGGAGAGGTGCGTGTGAGGGAAGAGAGGTGCCCGTTTGTCGCCCCACTGCAGGTAGTCGCCCCACTGCATGTAGTCGCCCCACTGCAGGTAGTCGCCCCACTGCAGGTAGTCGCCCCACTGCAGTTAGTCGCCCCACTGCAGGTAGTCGCCCCACTGCAGGTAGTCGCCCCACTGCAGGTAGTCGCCCCACTGCAGGTAGTCGCCCCACTGCAGGTAGTCGCCCCACTGCAGGTAGTCGCCCCACTGCAGGTAGTCGCCCCACTGCAGGTAGTCGCCCCACTGCAGGTAGTCGCCCCACTGCAGGTAGTCGCCCCACTGCAGTTAGTCGCCCCACTGCAGGTAGTCGCCCCACTGCAGGTAGTCGCCCCACTGCAGTTAGTCGCCCCACTGCAGGTAGTCGCCCCACTGCAGGTAGTCGCCCCACTGCAGGTAGTCGCCCCACTGCAGGTAGTCGCCCCACTGCAGGTAGTCGCCCCACTGCAGGTAGTCGCCCCACTGCAGTTAGTCGCCCCACTGCAGGTAGTCGCCCCACTGCAGGTAGTCGCCCCACTGCAGGTAGTCGCCCCACTGCAGGTGGTCGCCCCACTGCAGGTAGTCGCCCCACTGCAGGTAGTCGCCCCACTGCAGGTAGTCGCCCCACTGCAGTTAGTCGCCCCACTGCAGGTAGTCGCCCCACTGCAGGTAGTCGCCCCACTGCAGGTAGTCGCCCCACTGCAGGTAGTCGCCCCACTGCAGGTAGTCGCCCCACTGCAGGTAGTCGCCCCACTGCAGGTAGTCGCCCCACTGTAGGTAGTCGCCCCACTGCAGTTAGTCGCCCCACTGCAGGTAGTCGCCCCACTGCAGGTAGTCGCCCCACTGCAGGTAGTCGCCCCACTGCAGTTAGTCGCCCCACTGCAGGTAGTCGCCCCACTGCAGGTAGTCGCCCCACTGCAGGTAGTCGCCCCACTGCAGGTAGTCGCCCCACTGCAGGTAGTCGCCCCACTGCAGGTGGTCGCCCCACTGCAGGTAGTCGCCCCACTGCAGGTAGTCGCCCCACTGCAGTTAGTCGCCCCACTGCAGGTAGTCGCCCCACTGCAGGTAGTCGCCCCACTGCAGTTAGTCGCCCCACTGCAGGTAGTCGCCCCACTGCAGGTAGTCGCCCCACTGCAGGTAGTCGCCCCACTGCAGGTAGTCGCCCCACTGCAGGTAGTCGCCCCACTGCAGGTAGTCGCCCCACTGCAGGTAGTCGCCCCACTGCAGGTAGTCGCCCCACTGCAGTTAGTCGCCCCACTGCAGGTAGTCGCCCCACTGCAGGTAGTCGCCCCACTGCAGGTAGTCGCCCCACTGCAGGTAGTCGCCCCACTGCAGGTAGTCGCCCCACTGCAGGTAGTCGCCCCACTGCAGGTAGTCGCCCCACTGCAGGTAGTCGCCCCACTGCAGGTAGTCGCCCCACTGCAGGTAGTCGCCCCACTGCAGTTAGTCGCCCCACTGCAGGTAGTCGCCCCACTGCAGGTAGTCGCCCCACTGCAGGTAGTCGCCCCACTGCAGGTAGTCGCCCCACTGCAGGTAGTCGCCCCACTGCAGGTAGTCGCCCCACTGCAGGTAGTCGCCCCACTGCAGGTAGTCGCCCCACTGTAGGTAGTCGCCCCACTGCAGTTAGTCGCCCCACTGCAGGTAGTCGCCCCACTGCAGGTAGTCGCCCCACTGCAGGTAGTCGCCCCACTGCAGTTAGTCGCCCCACTGCAGGTAGTCGCCCCACTGCAGGTAGTCGCCCCACTGCAGTTAGTCGCCCCACTGCAGGTAGTCGCCCCACTGCAGGTAGTCGCCCCACTGCAGTTAGTCGCCCCACTGCAGGTAGTCGCCCCACTGCAGGTAGTCGCCCCACTGCAGGTAGTCGCCCCACTGCAGGTAGTCGCCCCACTGCAGGTAGTCGCCCCACTGCAGGTAGTCGCCCCACTGCAGTTAGTCGCCCCACTGCAGGTAGTCGCCCCACTGCAGGTAGTCGCCCCACTGCAGGTAGTCGCCCCACTGCAGGTAGTCGCCCCACTGCAGTTAGTCGCCCCACTGCAGGTAGTCGCCCCACTGCAGGTAGTCGCCCCACTGCAGGTAGTCGCCCCACTGCAGGTAGTCGCCCCACTGCAGTTAGTCGCCCCACTGCAGGTAGTCGCCCCACTGCAGGTAGTCGCCCCACTGCAGGTAGTCGCCCCACTGCAGGTAGTCGCCCCACTGCAGGTAGTCGCCCCACTGCAGGTAGTCGCCCCACTGCAGTTAGTCGCCCCACTGCAGGTAGTCGCCCCACTGCAGGTAGTCGCCCCACTGCAGTTAGTCGCCCCACTGCAGGTAGTCGCCCCACTGCAGGTAGTCGCCCCACTGCAGTTAGTCGCCCCACTGCAGGTAGTCGCCCCACTGCAGGTAGTCGCCCCACTGCAGGTAGTCGCCCCACTGCAGGTAGTCGCCCCACTGCAGTTAGTCGCCCCACTGCAGGTAGTCGCCCCACTGCAGGTAGTCGCCCCACTGCAGGTAGTCGCCCCACTGCAGGTAGTCGCCCCACTGCAGTTAGTCGCCCCACTGCAGGTAGTCGCCCCACTGCAGGTAGTCGCCCCACTGCAGTTAGTCGCCCCACTGCAGGTAGTCGCCCCACTGCAGGTAGTCGCCCCACTGCAGGTAGTCGCCCCACTGCAGGTAGTCGCCCCACTGCAGGTAGTCGCCCCACTGCAGGTAGTCGCCCCACTGCAGGTAGTCGCCCCACTGCAGGTAGTCGCCCCACTGCAGGTAGTCGCCCCACTGCAGGTAGTCGCCCCACTGCAGGTAGTCGCCCCACTGCAGGTAGTCGCCCCACTGCAGGTAGTCGCCCCACTGCAGGTAGTCGCCCCACTGCAGGTAGTCGCCCCACTGCAGGTAGTCGCCCCACTGCAGGTAGTCGCCCCACTGCAGGTAGTCGCCCCACCCATCCCATCTGTCATGGATACAGAGCTACTGCTTTGTGCACTTTCCTGACTGCACAGGGTCGCTGCCCCCTCCCCCCCCCCCTCCTTGGCCCCCCTCCCTCCTTACCCACAGGTAGCCCCTCCCTCCTTACCCACAGGTAGCCCCTCCCTCCTTACCCACAGTTGCTGTTGCTGTGCTTCCCCCCTCCCTCCCCCGCCCACTCACAGGTGGCAGTGTCAGACCACAGAGTGGCAACAAAGTACGAGCTCAGCCGCCGACAGTACCTTGAAAATCCCCTCTGCTGTCGCACACGTTTCCCTCCTTCCTCACATATCTGCCCCCTCTCAACACCCACAGGTGGCAGTATCAGACCGCACAGTCGCCACCAAGTACGAGTTGAGTCGCCGGCGCTACTTGGGTCCCACCGCCATGGACGCTGAGCTGTCGCTGCTCATGGCCAATCAGGCGCTCGCGCGGCGCGGCACGCTCATGTACGACCCGTTCGTGGGGACAGGGAGCATCCTGGTGGCTGCTGCTCACTTTGGCGCCATCACTCTGGTAAGTGAGAGTTACTCATTATCACGTATGATGTTACAACCACATCAGACTCGTGTGTGGCGCGGCGCGGAGCACTCATGTACGACCCGTTGGTGGGCACGGGGAGCATCCTGGTGGCCGCTTGTCACGTTGGTGAGAGGGTGGCTTGCATCATTCAGGATCACATCGACCCTGGTGAGAAGTGGCTTGCAATCGACCCAATCAATTGGGCTTTGGGACGGGAAGGGCTGCAATCGACATTCGAGTCGACTCAAAAGTCAACTCGCCTCCATTTCCCCCGCTCTCCGACTCCCCTACCACCACCAATATCAGGGAGCGGACATTGACATCCGGGTGGTGCGCGACGGCAAGGGCCCCAATCGGGACGTGTGGGCCAACTTCCACCAGGTGAGCATTCAGAGTGCAGCCATAGTGTGCAGTCATAGCGTGAGAGCATTGTGAGTATTGTGGGCCAACTTCCACCAGATGAGCCAACTCGCTAGCCCTTGCCACGCTATGGCTCCTCCCCTCGTCTGCTTACACTTGCTGACCCTCCCATTCCCTCATTCCTTGTCTCTCCTTCCGTCTCATCTCATTCCCTCGCCTTCCACTGTATTCTCTTCTTTCATTTTCTTCCTTCCCCTCTCTTATTCCCTCCCTTCCTGCTCCACTGCGTTGCTTTCCCTCGCCCCATTCTCCCTTGCAGTACTCGCTTCAACCACCAGTGGGCTTGTTGCGGGCAGACAACAACTGCCCTCCCTGGAGGCAAGACCTGCGAGAGGTGCGCGCACCTCTTGCCCTCTCCCTGCTCGTCCCCTCTCCCATACGAGCAGTCTCTACTCTCAAAAGCCCGTGAATTCTGAGGGCTTTTGAGGGCCACTTCTCACAAGGTGCGCTCAAGACTTTAGATGACTTTTGAGCACCTCTTGCCCTCTTGGGGGGCGCCTCAAAAGTACAATGCTTTGTTTGATCCCTTCCTTCACCCACCTCCAAAGAGTATATTTATATTTGTTATCTCCCCGTGGTTTCCCCTGCTATCTCCAGATGTTCCATGCCATGCCATCGTCCGTGACCTTCCCTAGCAGGCGCCCATAAGTACAATGCTTTGCTCAATCCCTTCCTTAACCCACCCACTTGCCAAAAGTATTCCTACTTTTTTTTTCCCCCCGTGTTTTACTCTTCTATATCCAGATGTTCCATGCCATCGTCTGTGACCCTCCCTACGGCGTCCGGGCAGGCGGCCGAAAGTCGGGCGGGAGGAAAATTCTCAACGGGGTGACAGACCCGTACGCCATAGCAGACAACTTGAAAGCTGCCCACATTCCCTCCACCGCCCCTTACTCCCTGGAAGAGTGCCTCCACGATCTTTTAGACACGGCTGCCCGTCTGCTCGTCATTGGTGGGCGGCTTGTTTATTTCTACCCTGCTGCCCGAGAGGAGTATCTGCCCGAGGAAATTCCGGGGCATCCGTGCCTGAAGCTGGTGGCCAATAGCGAGCAGATTCTGACCAAGCGGTGGAGCAGGCGGCTTGTGACTATGGTGAAGGTTGCTCCGTACAGCGATGACATGGCAGCTGCACACGTGGCGGCGCATGAGTGGTTCAGGAAGAAGCAGATAGAGGAGAGTAGGATGATGAGGGAAATGGGGGAGGCAGGGGAGGTGAGGGAAGGGGAGGATGAGGGGAGCAGGGATGGGGATGGGGAAGCGAGTAGTGGGGGAGGTGGCAAGGGGGTGAAGCAGGGAAAAGGGGATAAGAAAGGGGAGGGAGAGAGGAGATCAGGGAAGAATTTTCATGACTTGGTGTTTGCATCGCGGGCAGATGAGGTGGCCGGGATTCACCAGCAGGCATCGGTGCAAGGCATGAGGGACGAGAAGGGAGAGGAGGGAGGACGGGGCACAACGAATGGGGTGCCGCATAGATTATCGCGCAAGGCGGCGAAGCAGGCATCCAGACCACTGTATCGTGCCAAGTGTGTGTGATGGATGGGGGCAATGCGAATGACCTTTGAGTCGACTCAGCGGTCACAACAAATGGGGCCACTCTCAGATCATCATGCAAGGCGGCAAAGCAGGCATCAAGACCACCATATCGCGCCAAGTGTGTGTGAGGGTACAGCGAGGGTGGATGATTTGGCAGGCTGAGTCACCGGCAGGCTTGGGTCTATGCCCATGAGGGTAGGGAGGGTCACAGCGAATGTGCTGTCTTGCATTTCTAGAGAATCCGAAGTGATTCACACCATGAAGTAATCCATGTTATTGCTGATTTGATTGTTATCGGTTTGTTACTATATGCAACTTCAGAAACAGTTGCGTCAGTTTGATGCTCGAGATGTTACGACCAATCAGATATCGCTTTATTGCGCCGGGATTGGGTGAAAGAACTTGACTAGATTCGGCTTGGAAAGCCACACGAGTCACTGACCAACACGTGGTGGCGCCACGGTGTTCACGTTGGCGGTTGCACCTTGTTGTACAGTATTGCACTATCGCAGTGTCGTCTGTACCAGAAACCTCCTTCCTTTACCAGAAACTTGAACCTTGTTGCTCCTTAGTTGTCTGGCGGAGATGCGCAAAGCGAAGGCTTGAGCGACAGCTCTGGTTTCATGGGGCAGCGTTCTGTCACATTCACTGATAGACAATGTCAAAAGGTAGTGTTCTGTTTGAAGAAATGTGTGCGGGTTCTCTCACCACCTCGCCACTCGTGACGTGGTGCTTCACATTCCCAAGGGTCCAGTCAAACCTATCTGATTTCCATGAATAAACAAACCACTAATAAGAGAAGTCCACTTCACGACTCAGCATCATAAACTGTCTGTGTCCCTCTGCGAGTAATTTTCTATACTCTCCTCCGTCAAGCCCCTTGAAGGGGCTTCCTCACGCTATCCTGTTTTCCTCACGTATACCATTCGCTGCCGTGCTCTTTCCGCCTCATATCCTCGTTGGAGATTCGCGATTTTAGCTTGAAGGCGAACATTCACATCGTGTGGCAGTCCATTCCGTGGGTGAGCTCAGTTAGGACCGAAAAAAATGCGACAAGGCGCCATGGTGACTCTCCTAGTGCACTCCTCTAGCAGCAAGATATTTCAGTTTAGCGAAATTCTTAATGAGGCTACCTAGGTGACGTCGAAATCGTCGTATAATGTTGTTAGGGTTGGTTCGCCCAACCACGGAACCTATGGCGAAAGTCTCTACGACGGCGGAATGACGGCGAAGTGGAAGCGCGTGATGATTCTAGGTGAAACGGTGGAAATCGGCCTACGGAGTGAGAAGGGAGAGAGAAATCGAGAAGGAATGCGTGAGAAGGTGGAAGAAGCATCGAGATTGAAGTTGACGAGGGGAAATTGTGGTTCGAGCTCGAGGCGTGCTCGAGAAATTTCCATATTCGGACTTGAGGAGTGTTCACCGAATTCGGTTCGGTTGCGTGTGCGACTCGGGGTGAAACGAGGCGCACGCGGTTACTTGGGAAACAAGTGAAGTTACGAATCGCATTTTGTACCTTGGTTGACTATAAAACTGCTTGTACTCATTCTGGAAAACACAACATTGGACAACATTGATCAGTTGGAGATTCTGAAAGTTGCTGAAGTGTGTATTGACAACTTCAAGCAGAGCTGCGCATATCATTGGATTCGTGAGATCGTGGAGAACACGATAGACGATAGCAAGTAGACTATTGCTGACTAAGGTGTTTACGATCCTAAGAACTGGTATCAGAGCTTGGCGAACAGGCACGTCGATCGTCGTGAATTCACTTGGTGCGCTAAGTGAAATTAGTGGAGAAGAGGAGTCGTTCACGCCTACGCTATGGGAGACGAGGCGAGTTCGGGTTCCAGTGTGAGTCTTGGAGACCCGCAGTTGAAGGCTCTTCTAGAGGCCCTTGCGAGTGGCCGATTGGTGGCGAAACCGACGATCGGGCTCAGTGAAGCCCAGCGCTTCAACGGAAGCAACTAGAACGTGTGGCGAGAGAAGTTCATTCGGAGAGCAGAGGAGGTGGACCTCTTGCCGTACTACCGTCCCGACGAGAAGACGATGGAGGGAGTTGCGCCTTCCACGACGGATACGAAGGAGAAAATAGCGGCGTTTAAAAAGCAAAGTAAGCAAGCTTTCTTTCAGCTTTGTCATTCAGTTGCCGATGGAATCGCAGTGGATTTGGACTAGTTTGCAGGGGAGCTGAACTCTGCACAGAAAGCATGGGAGTACCTGGAGTCCACGTACATGGGTACGAACGATGTCAACAAGAAGGCGATCAGGAAGCAACTGCTGATGCTGAGCATGGAGAAAGGCGAGAAAATCATCACCTACATCAACAGGGCGAAAAGCTACAACGACGATTTGCGGGTGATGGGAGCCGCGGAGACGGAGCATGAGATGATTGACTACATCATCCAAGGTCTTCCTAAGGAGTGGGAATCCGACATCAGTATGTTTACGTACCAACCGCCGGAGAGTTTGACGAAGCTGCAGGAGATTCTGCAATCGCTTGAGACGGTGAAGGAGATGAGGAAAAAGAAAGCGGCAGTAGCAGCTACGGAATTCGACGAGGAGAGGCCGGCTTTGGTGAATGCAACGAAGGCCTTTGGAGCGTGCTACCAATGTGGAAAGCGCGGTCATAAGGCGATAAACTGCTACGAAAATCCTCGAAGCAGAAACTACAAGGGCAACGCGGTGGAGAACGATAAAGGAGAAAATGAGGGAGCGGAGTGGCAGCAGAAACAGGTTTTTGGCGGCAAGTGCGATTATTGTGGTCGCTATGGGCATCGTGCCGCAGAGTGCTACTCCAATCCAAACAGCAGGAGCTACAAGGGACCGTCGCAGCAGAGGATTGTGGCGGGTAAGGCAAATGTAACGGAAGCGGAAAAGGAGGATGTGATTTTGGGAGGAGCGCATCTTGCGAACGTGGTGCGTTTACCGAAGGATGTTCGTCAGACGGACGGACGTGAGAAGACGGCATGGTTCATGGACAGCGGATGCACGCGTCACATGACATTCAGATCAGATTGGATGGAGAATATGAGGAAGTCGAGCTCCGCCCAAGCGAGGACGGGGCCAAACACAACTCCCGTTGACAGGCAGCGCCGCAGGTGCACGATGAACCCGAGCGTCACCTCCACCAGCTGCAAAAGGGGAGCCACTAGAAGTTGCACGAGGCGCTCCACCAACACCTGCACTCGCGCCACCACCACTCGCCACGCCACCTCCGCTGCTGGCTGCACCCTGGCCGCCCCTCCTGCCACTCCTAACTCTAGACCGTGCATAAGTCGTGTCAGCAGCCGCGGTCTCGTCAGTTGCAGTAGCGGCGAGGGAGGCAGTAAAGGTGGGCAGCTGTGGGACAGTGCACCCGTGGAACAGTGGGAGGGGCACAGCGCCAGAGGCGGAGGCTACCGAGCGGAGGTTGCTCTCGACATACTTGAGGGCAGACTCAAGGACCTCGATAGTGAGCTCGCTAGGGCGCTTCAGAAGAAGTGCGTCGCGAACTGTGGCAAGGCGATCAGGGGGGCTAGTGACGATAAAGTAAATAGTAATCGCCATGGGGGGGGGGGGGGGGGGGTGCAAGTTGTGCATCAGTGTAGGCAGCGCGGTAGCTAGAATTTAGCAAACGCAGGTGAGCGATCAAGTCAGCAGAATGCTCAAACGAGGCGAGGTCAGGAAACAGGAACGGGAGGAATAGGCAACCAAGAGAGATAGTGGTGGGAGTGGAGTAGCGGGCCTTGATCGCAATCAGGAACTCGCTTGCAGCGCGAACCAGGGTGAAGTGGATCTTCTCAGACTTAGGGAGGAGGCTGTTGAGGGCGATGCAGGACGCAGCGTCGCGCAACTTCCAGGTTGTCAGAGCAACACGCTGACGTGCAAAACACTATTTGTCCACAGTGGTGGGGTCAGCGCCTAGGGGTTCAGGAGCAGAGGGCGCAAGAAGGTCAACGTGCGCCCAGAGTGATTCATCAGCCTGACACTGACTCTCTAGCAGGCGCTGCGCACGGAGGAGCCAGACCCTAGGCCTCAAAGCACAGGACCCTAGGCGCTGCCATAGCTGATGCGGAGGGGAGGGAGCTACGGCTGCCAGACGTCTAGAAGGCCTGAGCAGGGCGTGACAGGCAGGGCGCTAGGAGCACAAGAGGCATGGCGGCACAGGCGCGACGGGTAGAGTGCAAAGCGCGACAGGTAGAGTGCAAGGCGCGACAGGGACGGGTAGGGCGCGACGCGACGGGCAGGGAGGCGCGACGGGACGGGCAGGGCGCGATGCGACAGGACGGGTAGGGCGCGACGGGACGGGCAGGGAGGCGCGACGGGACGGGCAGGGCGCGATGCGACGGGACGGGCAGCAGGCCCCAAATTTCAAGGGTATTTTACCCTTTTTGCCCAGATGGTAGGCCACTTTTTGGCAGTTACCCTTTTAAAATCAGGGTATGGAGATTTTTACCCTAGTGAAATCAGGATACGCTAAAAAGTACTCTTGTGGTATTTTTTGTTACACTGACTGTATCAGGGTAGGGGTTCAACTACCCTTTTACCGGAACTATGTTGTACCGCGGATTCCGCCACAGCACGCGCCACGACAAAATGCACCACGCTCCCACTGGACCATTTGGTCGATACACCCACTGGCGCGCCAACGCAAATTCAGCACGGAGGGCCGCGCACACCTACGATTGGTCCGTTGAGCAACATCAGAGCCAACGCACCTGGTTTTCGTGCGTTCCCGAAGCACCGCTCACTGGCAACGTTGCCAATTGCGCGCCAGGTGGGGTTGTGCTGTCGTTTCCACCACCTGGCAGTCATTGTGGCCTTGCAGCCTATGCCATGCAGTTCCCTACCAGCGCGGGAACCGTGCTGCCTGAGGCCCCTTGGGCTTTGTGATTCCCAAGGGGTCTCTCAGACTCTCGCCATTCTCACGCTTCCTTCTCGTTTTGTTGTTCCGAATGCCTGCCTCAGAGGCAGATCCGCCTGGTAGCACCAGGAACGGTCTCTCCGTTCTCGGTGTG